AGAGGCTGTATTAACCAGGAGATTGCCCGTCTTTCTCTCCTGGAACAGCTGATGGATTTGAAATTTCATGTCCATAGGTCCACAGTGCAGCTTCTCATCAGAGCTCCCTCTTGGTGAGCTTATTGGGCATCAAGTAGTGTGTGAAGTACTCTACAGCCATCTCATTTAAATTTCTCAAATACACTGCAGCCTCCAATATGAATTGAGGCCCAATGTCAAGAAGACAAAGATTCTCACCACTGGACCAATTGGCAGCATCAGAATGGATGGCGAAGAGATTGAGGTTGTTCACAGGTTTAGTTTGCTTGACTCCACAGTCAACACTCTTGGCACCAGCAGCCAGGAAATTAAAAGACGCATTGCCATGGGAAAGTCTGCTGTTAGGGACCTCTCCAAAGTACTGAAGAGCAATGATGTCTCTCTGGAGACTAAGGTGTGTCTGATACAGGCCATGGTCTTTGCAATCACTTATTATGCATCAGAGAGTTGGACAATGACCAAGGAGGACAGAAGGAGAATTGATGCCTTTGAGCTGTGGTGGTGGAGAAGAGTATTGAGAGTACCATGGACTGCTAGGAAAACAAACAGATTCTTCCTGGAAAGGGTTAAACCGGGTGGCTCTTTAGAGGCAAGGATTCTGAGGCTCCATCTAACATACTTTGGACATGTTGTAAGGAGAGACAGGTCCTTGGAGAAGGACATCATGCTGGGGAGGGTGGAGGGATGGCGCAGGAGGGGAAGGCCCTCTATGAGGTGGATTGATTCAGTGACTGGGGTTATCGGGATGGGGGTGTCAGAGGCAGTACGATTGGCACAAGACAGAGCAGAGTTTAGGACTGTTGTACATGGGGTTAATACGAGTCACAAGCGACTTGACGGCACATAACAACAACAACAACAACAACCCTTTGAGGTAAATTATTTTATTCTTTCCAATTTACAGATGAAAAAAACTGAGGCTTAAAAGGTTAAATAACTTACCAAAGGTTACACAGGCAGCAGTAAACATTCAGCCAGCAATAGAGGCAATGCTGGTTTGATCCCCTCAGACATTCTGTGGTATTAACCTAGCCATGGCCTCTTAACCTTATTATATCATCAGAAAAGCCATTTCTGGGCAAAAAATATCTTGTTGCTTCCGGAAATTTTTATTAAAACTCTAAATCTCCTGGCAATAACTTTCAAATGTCATGATTCAGACCAGCAGTGATATTTGAAAATAGAATCATAATGCAGGTCTCCTGGCTACCGTGATGCTCTCACGCCTGGAAAGGAGCGCTCGACCTTGACATTTACGACAATTTGTGTTTTCCCCATTACTTGGTCTTTTGCCGTAACTGGCCACTGAAAGTCTCTCACCCTCATTCTTTCCTCTTTGGGGAATCCTTCCTTTGAGCTTCAACCAGCTCTGCCATCTCCCACAGGTATCATTTCATGACGGTCTATAACTGTTTCCTCAAGTTCCATCCACTGACTGCTTATCTAATGATATCTGGACACTCAGGCACAGTGCAGATCTCCAGGCCCCATCTCACAGCTATCATATAGAATCTCTACTGGCTGGAGCCCGGGAAACAGCATTTTAATCCCATTCCTTGGGTAATGTTTGTGAACAATAATGTTTGAGCCACCGTTGCAGACTCCAGACCCTCGTGATTCAAAGTGTGATCCCTAGACCAGCAGCATCAGCAGCTTATTAGAAAATGCAGAATCTACTGAATCAGAATCTGCATTTCAAACTAAACCCACATGACTATGTATATGGAGAACCACTAATCTAGCATAGTGTTTCCCAGCGGTTTTCCACATCTTGGAAACATAAATACATAGAACATGGAGGCATTTGTTTGACACACTGGGAGGACAGGTGAGAATGTGTTCAACCTGGGGTTCAATGTTCCCCAGGCCTCACCTCTCAACCTTTTAGCTGGGGGGGTGGGGGAAGCAAACCTTAGCATTTACCCATTAAGAGGCTCTGGTCTTAAAGCATGCCCAGTTCTTCTCATTTTCTTCATAAAACATAATACCTTTAGACTTTTCTCCTTCTTGTCTTTGTCAGTTATCATTTCATTTCAGTCAATGAGGGTCAGAATGATTACTTCCTAACCAATGCCACCAGTTGCCACTGACAACAGAAATAAGACATTGTGGTGGAGTCTGAAATGACTCATGGTCCACCCTCCAGCAGGTTTTCAGAGACTGCAAATAACACCAGAGGAGACTGCCCATCTTTCTCCCAAGTAGCAGCTTTTGGATTCGAACCTCCTGTTTTGGGGGATGGCAACACAACTCCTTAACCACTAGGCCACCAGAGCTCCCTTAGTTGCTACTGAGTTGCAACATCAAGGTGATGATCCTCTGTAGTCTGTGCTCTGCAGAGTTTTCAGGGGCCTTTTCTTTTTAAGTAGCTCAAACCCTTTGTCCAAGGTAGCTCTGAATGGATTCAAACCTCCAGAACAGTACTTTAACTATTTGCACTACCAAGTGGCTTCACCCAAGACATTTCCACATAATGCAAAAGCACAAGCTCATCTTCAAATTCTAGGTGGTTGGTGGTGGTGTGTGCCCTCAAGTCAGAACCAATTCATAGCTGATCCTCCAGCAGGTTTTCAGAGGCAGTGGGTTGCACAGGAGGAGACTGCCCATATTTCCTTTTTGGAACAGCTGATGGATTTGAAATGTGTGCCTTTGGAATGGCAGCGTAGTTCCTTACCACTGAGAGACGAGAGCTCCCTCAAGTTCTAGGTAGACTCTTTAAGGGAAGTCTCTAAAATGTCGTCTGCTTATGGCCTTGGGGGAGGGATGGGAAGAATCAAGAGCCCTCATCCCTCTGAGGAGTTCTCCTGTCCTCTAGGCTTGCATATCTGAGAAGGATCAGTGGCCTGTAAGGTGGCTTCCTCTCTCCTGAGTGCCAAGACCAATGTGATTTGCTTAATCCTTCCTCAGCAAACTCTGTCAGTTTGTAAACTGGACAGGTGTTCTTCTTCTTAGCCAGCCTGTGATAATGGGGTGACAACTGGGTTGGAAAGAATAGAATACCTTCAGAAACACTCCCTGCTGGGACCATATGATCAAAATAACTGTCAGGACACACCATCTGACTTAGCAAAGACCACACAACTATGTGGGAGCCCCATTTAAAATTTTTTATTTTTCTTTGCTTTAGGAAAGGGCTGAAAAATTTACAAGTTCAAAATGTTGAACTCTGATTTTGAATGAAATTATGACATGCCATATTCCTAAATAAAGGGAAGTTGTTCTGTTGCTGGGGTGAGAGGTAACCTCATTGCTTTGATCCTTCTCTCTCCAATGGCGAGTGATCTTGAGCATTTCTCCATATGTCTGTTTGCTGACTTTTATCTTCTCTAGTTGAGGGTCTTCTCTTATTCTCTCATTTCACCCTAATTGGCTTGTTTGTCTTTTTCTTTGTTGAGGTGTGAGAGTTTTTTGTAAATTTTACAGTTTAGTTTCTTTTCCAATTATGTCATTGCCAAATACTATAGTTTTCAACCTATGTTGTAGTTTACTTTCTTGTCAAATTATATTATTGTCAAATACTTTTTGAGCTAGGTTAATTTTTTTTTTCATGAAACTCTCACGTTAATCCAGATACAACAAGGGGGTCTTTCTCCTGTTCTGACTAGAACTTTCAGAGCATAGTTCTCAGTGAAGCCAGAGTAGTTGTAATGTCAATGAGAAGAATGGGGCTTTCTCTAAGTCTCTAGTGAGAATAGTTGGGGGAGAGGTGGGGGAGGACTTCCATTCCTTAATCATCTGACTACTAGATGCTATAAACAATATGGATGAGGAATACTGAAAACGTAGGCTCTCAGTCCAAACAGCATGTCCATTCCACATGACCACAGGCAGTCCCTAGATTACTAACAAGTTCCTTGTCTAAGTCTATCATTAAGTCAATATGTACGTAAGTTTGAACAGGCAAGTACTGTACACATTTAGCATCAGTTAGTCAAATGTTTATCATAGCACATAGTGCACCTTTCTATGTGGAAGAAGCTTAAACACTGCCAAATACATGAAAACACCTTTACTGTAATATAATACAGTAACAATAATATTTTGGTGCATGTTACAAAGTAATGCTTGTTTATTGTTTATTACATGCGTCTCTGATTTTTACTATTAAATTGACCCCTGAAGAATGCGCCAGTCAGGGGTACCCACCTCCCACACAGTCCAAAATCTAAGTTAAATTTACAGTTGGCCCTTATATAACACGGTTTTGGATGGCATAGGTCCACTTAAGCATGGATTTTTTTTTTCTATTGCTATTATGGTGAGATCTAGTCTTGGGGTGTTTTTTTGTTTGGATTTTTTTGTATTTGTGTATTGTGTGTATTGTAATTTATTAATTTATGGGACAAAATGTGCATTTTGAAAATTGAAAAAATATGCTTTTTAAATGTCATTCAAATAACAATTAAAAAAATTTTAATATGGTCAAAACCAAATGTCATGTGATGCTAACCATCTCCACAAGAGCAGGTCATCTACCCAGTAAATTATATTTGAAGACAAACTACTCACACTGAGATATTTAATCCACGCAGCATAATGTCACAGATACTTGAAACACTTAAGCTCCCTAGGAAAGACAGCGACAGGGGAGAAGTGTCTGGATATAGACGGACCTGATAACTTATACCCATGTTGTTTAAGGGTCACCTGTAATAGGCTTTCCAAGGGTTGGTTCATAACTATGTTGTTGTTGTTGTTGTGTACTGTGCAGTCGGAACTAACCCATAGCTGACTCTCCAGTGGGTTTTCAGGGACAGTAGATCACACAGGAGTTGACTGCCCATCTTTCTTCCCTGGGACAGCTGGTGGATTTGAACCACATGCCTTCAAGTTGGTAGCACAGCTCCTTACCACTAGGCCAGCGGAGCTCCCTTTGTATCTAGGAGTTGTATGTTACTTGTATGATTGTAATCCAGTATGGCCTGTGCAGATGTTGAGCCATATCTCTCTTTGTGGTCCAGGATGAAGAATAAGCTGTGGTACTTTGAATTTGGCACCTCAGAGACGTTTGCTGCCACCTGCAAGAAGCTCCATGACCACATAGAGTTGGAGGTAAGTTACCAAAGGAGAGGACACTCCCGGGACTGTCACACACGTATCCTTAGGACCTGATGCCTCCTCAGGTCTTGAAGAGTGGGCAAGAGTCCATCCCATGCTGCATCTCCCTCCTGTCTCCCACCGCTGCTGCACCTCCCTCAGAAGGTTGCAGTTGGTGGGCTTGCCTTTCTTGGCCTGCCCTGAAACTTTTGGGGTTTGTAGACAAAAAGGCCAATCTCCCATCCATTTCTTTGTTCAGTCATCCTCCCACTGTGATCTTATTGGTTTCAGATTAAGGGCAGCTTAGCTGCCACCAATGCAAGGAAAGGGGTTGTTACTGGATGGTGTCAGTGTTCCAAAAAGTCTCAAACTGGTGGCCACATGGCAATGGGGGTAGGGACGTGCAAGTTAGGGCCAGAGGTATCCTCATACTCCTTAACTCATTTCTCCTCCTCCATCTATGGAGAAAAGATTGAAACTCTCAACAACTTCATCTTGCTTGAATCCACAATTAACACCCTTGGTACTAGCACTCAGGAAATCAGAAGATTACGCTAGGAAAGTCTGCAGTTAGGGTCCTCTCCAGATTATTGAGGAGTAATGATGTCAGTTTGAGGACGTAGGTGTGTTTGATTCTGGCCACAGTCTCTCCCATCACTTATTTGAGAGCTGGACAGTGAATAAGGATGACAGAAGATTTGATGCCTTTGAGCTGTGGTGTTGGAGAAGAGTGCTGAACATCCCATGAACAGCCAAAGGAACAAATACATATTTCTTGGAGAGGGTGCAGCTGGAGTGCTCTTTGGAGGCAAGGATGATGAGGCTTTGCCTCACATACTTCGGGCATGTTGCTAGGAGGGGCTATTCCTTAGAGAGGGACATGATGCTTGGAAGAGTGGAGGGTCGGCGATGGAGAGGAAGACCCTTGACAAGGTGGACTGACACAGTGACTGCCACAATGGGCTCTAGTGTGTCAAGAAGTATGAGGATGGCACAGGATAGGACAGGATACAGATCTGTTGTTCTTAGGGTCTCTATGAGTCATACTCGACTCAACAGCACCTAATGACAAGATCTCTCCTATTTCCAAGCTGCTGCTAGGAGATGACTCACATCACAGGATTGTGTCCTGTGATGTGGCATGGGACCCCACACTCAGGAGAAAAGTCCATGCTCTGTTTTATGCTCTGCTTTCACCCTCTTGCAGACCTTGACAACATTTGAACAAGAAGTTCCACCTTTTCGTTTTGCACTTCTCAATCAGGTAGCCAACCCTTCTCAGTCACTCTTGTTTGACTAACTTCCGGCACTTGTAGCAGCTTGCCCAGCTGAGAGAATTTGCCTGTGGGCTTCCCCTACCAGGGTGATAGGCTGCCCACTTCCCACCCCCTCACTCGGCTTCTGTTGTTGGCTCTCGTGGAGTCCTGTCATGGTGTCCTCTCATTGCTGTGATGATTTCTCTTGGTCTCTGGACACTTGAAAGCCCAAACTTGTGCGCACACCAGCTCTGTGTCCACTTTGCATGACCTCTGGCCCACTGGTTCCCTTACCATGGTTCTTCCCCACCCGGCCCACCTTCCCATGAGAGTCAGGCCTGGAGCGTGGTTTTCACTTGAGAAAAACAAATGAAGAGGCAGCCAGGATGGAACTCTCCAAACCCACCAGCTTTGTCTCTGACTGCCTCTCAAGTCACATGAGGCTGGGCTTCCCTTTGAGGAGAAGAGTTTGGCCTGAAGCAGTGTAGGAAAGCCCCACCACTCCCTGCCGGAAAGCAGCCGATTCAGCCCCAAGTCAAACAAAACACAAAGCCAGAGGTTCTGTGTGCTTCTATTTGACTCATCTGCCTGCCTCTCCCCACTGGTTGCTGGGTTACGGAGACACCAGAGTGGGAAGAGAGGATCCCAGCTAATCCTCTGAACTTTTGGCCAGCTCAGGCAGAGGCAGAGAGGCCCAGGAGCCTGAGGCGAGTGTCCGAGGTGGTAAGAGGCTCTGACTACTGCACCTGCATGAGGAGGCAGCCCTCCTCTATTTACATATAAACACTGCCTGGGCACTGCAGCAGGAAGGAGTGGCCTTGGCAGAGGACCCTGCGTGGCCAGCACAGATATGGATGCATTTTTTCCTGTTGGCACAGTCCCCTGGTGGGGTCTCTTTAAATATACCCCAAGTGAGGGACAGCCCTGGCCTGACCACGGCCAGCTGCAGGCACAACAGCGAAGGCTTGTTCTGCCTGCAGCTGGCCTTGAAACTGTGCCCAGAATACAGCTCCCTGGCCCCCGCAGCCTGCCCTCTCAGCTCCAGGCCCGGTTGTGCCCAGCAGTCGCCTCTGGGGCTGAGATGGGTGTCTCTTCTTCAGCCACAGAGGAGGGCGGGTGGCTTGTTGCTAAGGGCACTAGTGGCCTCTGCAGAGATTGGAGTCTCCTCTCTGTGGGGTGGGGATGGGGGGTGGGGGGTTCGGAACACTTCCTGTTTTCCTTATCTCTCCATAATGAATCTTTTGAGTATTTATTCAACTCAAATAGGGTGAGAAGAGGGAAGGTCATGTGACAAGCAGCTTCTGACAGCCTGCAGGATTGGGGCAGGCACCATTTCTGTATCCTGAGAACAGGGCTGGATGGTTAGTGTATTACAATGGGATGTGAGGAAGAAGGACTTAGATAGATGAGTAGAGTGAGGTGTGAGTGTGAGTGTGACAGATATACAAGGGGCCTGCTGACAACACAGGCAGATGTTAGAAAGTCAGGGGACATCAGGAAGAGCAGACAATAGAAGCTGGGTGATGAGGCTGGAGATCCGGAGACGAACTCCCTAGTTTTTCAGACCACACTTTACACTTTTCAAAGCCCTGCCATAGCCCTTACTCCATAGTCACACGACAGCACTGTGAGCGAAGCAGACCAGGTATTACAATCCCCGTTTACAGCTAAGCAAAGTGGGGCACTGGGGTTTAGCAAGATAAAGAGAGGGTAGAGTAAAGTGTAAAGGGAAGAAAGAAATCACCTGCTTTTTGGCTGCCTACCATAACATATTATCATTTTATACAGCAGCCCAGAGAAGCTGGTAGTATCCACATTATTACTTTAAATCAGGAAGCTGAGGTTTAGCTGTGTTGTGTAACTTGAACACGACTTCATTACTAATAACTGGAGAGAATCCAAGTTTTCTAGAGCAAGTTCAGCTTGTTGTTGTGTACCATAGAGTCTGAACTGTCCCAAAGCTGACTCTCCAGTGGCTTTCCAGAGGCAGTTAATCACATGCAAGGAGATTGCCCATCCTTCTGTCGAGCAGCTGGTGGATTTGAACTGAGTGTCTTAGGGATTGCAGCTCAGCTTCTTGCCACTTGGCCACTAGATCTCTCAAGTTTAGATTATCCATTGCCAAATAAGTTGATTCTTTGTGACCATATAAGAAAGAATACAACTACCCATCAGAATTTCCAAGACTCTAAATCTTTACGGAGGCAGCTAGAAAAGCTCATCTTTCTCTCTTGGAGCACCTCGTGGATTTGAACCACCAACCTTTCAGTTAGCAGGTCAACACTTAATCCACTGTAGCAAGAAGACTTTCACTTTTAACTTCAAAGACCAAATTCGAAGCCACCACCTTGATATGGTTCCAATTCATAGCCTCCCTCAATCTGATTTCAGAGACTGTAAACTTGGCAGGAAGAAACTGCCCATTTTCCACCTGCAGATTGGCTTGTGAATTTGAACTGCTGACCTTTTGGTCAGTATCCTGATACATTATAGGTTACACCATCAGAGCCCCTAATGTTTAGCTTGGAACTCAATAAATACACATGTGTCTAATGAGTGCTTGAACTCAGGACTTTCTCAGCATAGCTGCATGGTTGCTTCCTCTTTTACTATCTATAAACATTCTAATCGCTGTTGCGTTGACTCTGACTCATGCGATCCTGTTGTGATAGGGTTGAACTGCACACTCATGGGCTTTTCAATGGCTGCTCTTTCTGAAGGAGATCACCAGAAACTTTCCTGTAAGTCCCCTGTTGGAAAGGACTCGAACTTCCAACTTTTTGGTTAGTAGCCAGGTGCTTCAACCATATGTCCAACTTCAGTTGAGACAGTTGGTCATCTCTGCTGAGAATTGCCTAGCAAAAAACAGACGCCCAGACCTTGCTGCTACTGAGAAAGCCTGGATTCAGGCTGGACTAAATAAAGAAAATCAGATGGCAAGCAGCCTCAAGGCTTACAAAAATTTCTTCACATACCATCTCACTTTACACCGATCCAGGGAACACACAGGGCAAATATTATGGACCCTATTTTATGGGTGAGAAGACTGAGGCCAGGTGATTCAGTGGCTAAAGTAAGACTCACCAAGAATAGACGGTGTCGATTAGTTTCTTTCTTCTTGTTGCTGTTTTGAGTCACCTTGGTAAAAGATTACATAGAAACCTTCAACCTAAAATAAGCAAGGAAGGTCTCCATTAAACGCCTTTCACCTGGAAAATGGCTTGTTTCTCTGAGGTTAGCTGCCGATTCTCCACTGCCTTCTGGTTCATTCCGACTTACACGGCCCATGTGTGTAGGGTGGGACCTCACTGCATTTGGGTTTTCAAGACTGAGCTCCCGAAAGGAGATTGCCAGGCCTGTCTTCTGAGATGTGCCCCTGGGTGGGTCTGATCCTCAGTTTCTTCATGGCAGGAAGGGAGGATGACCTGAATCCCAAGGCTGTTTGTGATTCTGATGAAAGTTTTCCGGTCTTTTTATGTATCTAGCAGTAGGATGTCAAAGGATCAGGCAACATTTCGATGTATTGTTCACAGGGTCTCTGGGTCGGGGTCAACTCAACAATCCCTGACCCCAGCCACAAAGCAGTAACATGAGGTGCTTAACATAATCCTCACATCTTCTAATCAACTCTAAGTGCAGGGACAGATGTTGTCTCTCCAGAGAAAGGGGCAGAAGCTAAGAAAAGGGAAGGCCTGTGAGGGTTCAAGTCACGCTTCAGATGCACATTTGCCCAATTCTCAAAGAATCTCCAGTGTTTCA